AACCTAAGGAATCAGCCCGAACGCTGAAACCGAAACATCTCCACACCTAAAACCTACAGGACCCTCAGCCCAAAGCCTAAAACCGAAACTTCTCAAACGAACGTCCATAGCCCTAAAGCCTGAAGAACATTCAACCTGAACCTTAAACCCGAATCTCCTCACCACCCTAACCCAAAAATTTAAACAACCGTCAACCGAAACCCTAAGCCTGAAACTGCTCGGCCATAATTCTGCAAGCCTAAACAACCTTCAACCCAAACCCTAAGCCCGAAACTACTGAATTTTAACCCCTAACCAAAAACCTAGGCAGCCCTCAGCCCAAACCTAAGCCCGAGACTCTGAATCCTAATCTTGAACCTACTTTCCACATAAAACCCAAAGCCTAAACACACCTCAGCCCAAAGCCTAAACCCTAAACTAGCTTCAGCCCAAACCCTAGGATCCAAACAACCGTCAACCCAAGCCCTAGACCCAAGACTCCCCGCCCCTAACTTTAGAACCCAAACAACCTTCAACCCACAGCCTAAACCCGCAACTCCTCAATCCTAAGCCCTAAAGACTAAACAACTTTCAACCTAAAGCCTAAGCCCAAAACTCCTCAACGCTAACCCTAAAAATTAAACACCTTGAACCAAAAGCCTTATCCCGAAATCCTTCAACCATAACCTTGAAACCGAAGCAGCTGTCAATCCAACTCATAAACTCGAAACACCTTGACCCTAAGCCCTCAAGACTACGCAACCTTCAACCCGAAGCCTAGACCCGGAACTCCTCAATCCTAAGCCCTAAAGACTAAACAACTTTCAACCTAAAGCCTAAGCCCAAAACTCCTCAACATTAACCCTAAAGACTAAACAGCCTTGAACCAAAAACCTTATCCCGAAACCCCTCAGCCATAGCTTTGAAACCGAAACAGTTGTCCATCCCGAACCAAAACCCTAAACTCTGAAGACTAAACAACCTTCAACGCAAAGGCTAAACCCGAAACTCCGCAATGTGCAGGAATCCCAAGCCATAGAGCCTCAATCCCAAACCTTAGAAACACCCGAAGCCCAAAGGAGCTTGAGCCAAAATCATGACGCCTAAACCGTAGATAAGTCTATATGTCTAACTCGACATTTGAGGACTACCAACACTAAACCTTAACCTCTGAACCTTCAACCTTAGAACCCTAAGCCCAGCCCTGTGTGGCAAGATTTGCGCGTTCAACCCCCTCAGTGTCAAAAGCGGACCTTTAACCCAAATCCTCGAGCCTGAACTGTAAAATCCGTAGGACATTCTTGAAAACAAGATGCATGCTGGATAGGAACTCAAAAGCAATGCGCAGTGGCAAGTAGATGCGCACTGGATCTCCCCTACTTTGTCGGACAGGTATGGTATCGAGGTGGTGAAGCGGTATGGTGCACTGAAAGGCAGCGTGCTGTTTGCCTGGCGACTGCTTCGCTGTACACCCTTGGCCCCTTTGCTTGCAAGCACATTTTGTGCACGCAGCTGATTGACTGAGATGTATGCTGAGTTTCCTGTCGACCGGAGCAGAATCGTATGGGCTTACGGCAGGTGCGCTCTATGTAATATTGCCATTTCGAATGTTGAGTGCTTTGGCAGTGTGGAAGTGCCGCGTAGCCAGGTTCTGCATGTCGGATGAGCCAGAGGCGGCTTGGTTTGTGTTGTCAAAGATGCCTCACTCAGCTTTTTGTTCACAGGAGTGGCATGACAAGTTGTTTGGAAGTTCAACCTCGTCAAGCACCTGCAGCTGCAAATCATGATTTCGGTGTGTCATGCAGCGGTGACAAGTTTTTTTGAGTCACCTATACCTATGCCCGCGAGCTGCAGGACTTCAGGATCCCGCTGCGAACGGCCAAGACTGTGATGCTGAAGAAAAAAGAGAAAACGTGCTGCCATTTGCAGGCTAAACCCATCCTTCGAAGTTGTGTTTTGACCCTTTAAATCTGGATAGGGTCGCACTGCATAGCAGTCGACTGAACCCTTTGTCAGGGTTCTCAACCCCTCAACATCGTCAGCAAAGGCCAAAAGCTGACAAGGCACATTCAAAGCCCTCCATCTCATTTTCAGATTCGCGACATTTCGAATGAAATTGCAGGCCCGCAAAACTTGAAACGGAAATGCCAATGCCCTGAGCCTTTCACACCTCAGGAGGTACCATTTCCACACCGAAATCCGTGCATCCAGCAATGTGAAAGTTTGATGAACTGGCTCTGAGGATCCTAAATTCTGAAGACCTGTCCACAGCTCTTTGAAGGTGAGCATCCTTACCCCAGTCAAATCCAAACTGCAAGCCTGAACCCTGAGGACCCCAGGCTGTGAACCCTTGAAATCAGGATGCCACCAATAAAAGCATTCAAGCTTAAGAGAACCCGAACCCAAACCGTCTTGTCCTAAACTCTGCAGTCTTAGTACCCAGCGGGAAAAATCTCTTGGCCCTGATATCCTAAGGATCAACAGGGCATTCACGCCAACGGTTGTGTATAGCATTTTGGGGGTTGCGCATGCCTGATGACCGATAGGTGTACCAGTGTACCATGGTGTATCTAGACTCTGGAAGTGCCACGAAACATAGTTTGTGTTGCCAGAGTAATGTGTGCAGTCTGACAAATCTTTGGACGTGCTGCTGCATTCGCTGATCCCCTGACCCGGGCAGGTTCCAACCCTTATCATCCACGGAGACCAGGACAGGCTGGTAGACAGCTCGCAAGGCTACGCATGCAGGGCTTGGGCTGCCTGGCTGACCGCGCTCTGCAAATCGAGTGCATGCTGATCTGTCTCGTGTCTGCTCATGCCTTTTAGAACAAAATTGGGGATAGTCTGGTGTCGAGGCAGGCAACTTCTCGACCTTTGCCCCAGCCTTTGGCTCAGATGCGATGGCTCCTTGTACTGCTCTTCTGACAGCGAGCATGAGTAGTAAGTTTGTAAGTTTGATTTTGAGATCTCTGAGCATGCACGGAGGCGACAAAAAATGCTTCGTCAGCCCGCCTGGAATGGGCGTCAGCCTGATCTGCTTTGTGCACGCTCTCTGTTTCAATGACAAGTGATGTCCGCTATGCTTGAGGAGGGCTTTCTGGTGTCTAGGGTGTTTTTGAAGTCATGGTCATGGTGTATGAGACTTAGAGCAGGACATTCACGGTATGGGCCACTCAAGAATTGTTGTTCTGTTTGTGGATCTAGTGTGTGTTTTGAGTTTAAACTTTTTCGGGTCTACGGTGTTTTGGGTTTGGCATGTTTTGAGATTGAGGTTCGTTGCTATGTCGGGTCAAGGGCGGTGAGGGTTTGATGGCTCAGCTTTTGACTGTGATTAATGTTCGTGTTGCACTTTGGAATCGTATCGCAGACAGAGAGTACAACAGGGAGAGGAGGCAGGGTAGGTGCTCTGTGTAAAGTGACCAGCCCACAGCACCACGACATTCCAATGCGTCTGGGTGCTTCACACAGACTCATTCCGTGTTTAAAGGATTCTCATTCTCATGTGGGCAGACCTACGAAGCGACAACTTGCCCCCTTTGGTTTAGGCACGTGGGCGGCCCCCCAAAATATAGACGTCTTCAAGGCCATGGCGGAATGCAGCAGGCAAATATCAATTTACACACAAAAAAGCTCGGGAGGATAGCTGCCGTTAGTCCTTCAGTCCGGGCAGCTCGTACACCGTGAAACGGACAATGACATGCAAACCGGCTCAACACGCAGACAGCGAGAAGCAGGGCGCAAGCGCACTGAGCGCCCTGAAATCGTTTCGCGCACCGAGAAAAAAACCAACGGCCGCCAATGATGCTTATGCTGCTGGCCCAGGCACCCCCAATGCATGCATGCATGCATGCATGCGAATGCGGCCTGGAAAACCTTGATGTTGCCGGAGCGCACTGAGCTCCGATCATCGAGAAAAAGAATTACGGCCGTCCAATCATGCTCGTGATGCTGGCCCAGGTCCCCCAACGGCATGTAAGTCCGGCCTAGCAAACCTTGATGTCGGCGGTGTGCAGCTCCAGCAAACACTGAGCTGCATGACCCGCTGCGAGCCCCGAGAAGGAAACCCCGAAAACAAGGCCCCGCCCCTAAGCCTCAAACAGTCAGCTTCCTCACGACCTGCATGACCCGCTCCGACCCACCAGACGGAGACCAGCAGGAGAAACGGCTGGCTCATGCACGCAAACCCCTCCCGCTCTCCCCCCGTTCCCACCCCCTCCCTGCCCCTAACATCCCCCCCCCATCGCAAATCGAAGTGGCAATGACCGCTCCGCGCCCAGCCAATGCCGTGCAATGATGCTCATGCTGCTAGGTGAGGCCTGCCAAAGCCGTGCAAATTCGGCCTGAAAGACACGTCTAGCTCCGGCAATCCCACTGAGCTGCATGACCTGCTCTGAGCCCCACAAAGGAGAGATACGGAGACCCAATCGTGCTTGTGATGGAGTAGTAGCGCATGCGGCTGTTTCCCAACCAGTTCACAACTCGTTCCAATTGAGCCTAAATCCTAAGACCAGCCGTGAAGACCAGCAGGAGAAATGGTTGCCCAATGATGTTCGCGATGCTGGCCCTGGCCCTCAATCAGGCAAATCTGGCCGAACCCTCCCCCCCCCCCAAATGACCCATCATAGCCTTCGTGGTTCCAGCATCCAACCTTCATGAATCCGGTCAGGCCTCGCCCAACAGACACGGGCAGCCTCGAAGCCTGGAGAAACGGATCCCCAAATGATGCTGATGATGCTGGCTAAGGGGCCTGCATCAACAGCATCATTGGGGGTCCGTTTCTCCATTTATTGGCTGGCAAAACCCCAAGATGGGCTTGTGGGCTAGTTTTCAAGAACGGTCCTTGCTGATGATGCTGATTTCGGGGCTCCTGGGAAACCCAACTTTCTCCAAATCCATCCGTAGCGGGGGGATTTGCTTCAAAAACGCACGCAGATTTCAATTTGGTTTTGGAGTGGAGAAACGGCCATCCAATGATGCGTTGGCCCTGGGCCCCCAACGCCCGTGCCCCCCTGCCTAGAACACTACTCTTTCTCAACGATGCGCTCACACGCAAGCTCGCTTTCCGTCATCAAATGGACCAGTATTCCTGTACATTCATAAGCTTTAGAAGAGTGAAAGGGTTCGCAACTGATATGCAGCTCAAATCCCCGACTGTCAACATATTGGGATGATTTTGGTCGTCCTCGCGACTTAAATACCTTTTCGTGGTAGGCCCGACCTATAATGAATCCTGGACACCTGCTCTCAAGGAGGGAAGTTTGCTTTCAGGCTCCGTGAAAGGTTTCCAGAGGATCTCAATGAGTTGCCAGGACGTCCCACAATTCAACTTTGTCACTTTGTGGGGGATCTTCATGTCCAGATCTTGCGGATGTGCAAGAGCAGCAGAGGTCACAATGATGACCTGATGGCAAGCGCTGAGCTGCTGTGGAGGTCCGTGGAGGGGTATCTACTAGTCGAGCCTGAGAGCAGCAGAGACTTTGCAGTGCTTTTTCAGCATGCAGGCCTATGGTCGAGTTTTTTGCCTTGCCAGCAGTGACCTCACAGAGACCTCTTGGGGCTAGCGTTTCGGTTTGTGCCTGCAGCTGAGGACTATGATTTTCGGCAGCTGCACTTGCCCAAAGAGGTGCCGCTGTTCACAATGCTTGTATGTGCATATGCGTAAATTATCGATGTTGGATGTCTTGTGTTTTTGCTTGTCGCTCTTGGCTAGCACCTGGCGCCTGTGAGCATTTCGCCCCTTGGTTCATGCTGAGGGCAGCAACACACTGAAGTTCCATACCCTTGAACATTTCCTGTCTGTAAACTGAGAAGTTCCCCCCAAGTAACAGATCAATGTTTATGTATGTGTTTCCATGCCCACATGCTGGAACCGCGATTCCTGACTGAAGAACTTTCGACCTCTGCTCAGATGACAACTGATGTAGATTCATTTGGTGTCGAAAGGGCTGTGCTGGATTATCCATCCGCGGCCTCATGCTTCAATGGGCTTGCCCGAGACGGTTTCCTCGTTCTTGCACCTTGGCTCTGCTTCAGAGATCATGAGCCTCACCTGAACATGCAAAGCGGTTGCCTGCAAGAGAGTTGGAATGCTCAGGTTCGTGGAGAGTCGCAAGACACTGCTAGAGCTTTTGGAAGATCCGTTGGACTGGTGCCTTGCTGGTGTCACGGAGCCTGTTGCTTTGTTTCCCTACGCTTGCGTTCGGTACTTGACACGCCTTCCAACTGCGGGCTTGCCTAGACTCCAAGCAGAGGCGGGCGTTGCAATGCGCGTGCCGCTGGCGTGCTGGACGGGACGATCTGCTGGCGGAGGCTGCGCCAGGGACAAGCACAGTTACCGGCAGGGTAGGCTTTTGCTGTTAAGGTGCATCTTGACCCATGGCTCCGGTCGGCGATCAGCAGGTGCTGCCGAGCACTTGACAGGCCTCGCAACTTCAACCCGCAGCTACATTCGCGAAGAGCTTTGGCAACAGACTGTACTTGATAGCTTGGTAGGTTGCCGCGAGATGATCTGTTGGGTGAGCTTGTGATGTCAGCCCAACTCAGCCGGGCCAGCGAGCGATTTTTTGTCACGCTGATGGGGGCGCACCCCAAGGGCCTTCAAAATCCAAAGGTCAGCCTCTGAGTCCACTCAGCACTTTGTTTGATGGCAGGGATGCTGAAGCAGACACTTCCCCTTTCAGGGTCCGCTATTCTATGTGGTCCCGAGGCCTTGGACCTGAGCTGGTGGCACTCGCATCTCGTTTCTCAACAAGGTTTGCATTTTGGGTTGCATGATGCGCCTTTTTCTTCATGACTGCCTGGCAGTTTTGTGAGTCTTGACATGTTGAGCAGCGACAAACCCCTGAGCCGTATCAGCATGCATGGTCAGAACTTACTTTGCAGCACCTGGCAGGAAGAGTTCTGGGCTTCTGGCTTCGCAGCTCGCAGCTGGAGCAGCTCTCTTTGGCTCAGTGTGACGGTGGGGCTGGGGTCCCCCCCCTCCCGGACTTTGCATCGCTAGGCTTGAAAGAGGGAAGACCTGAACATCCTTGCCGCTAGTTTGAAAGGATGGAAAACAAAGATTTACTAAAGCTGGCTCTTTACACGAGCTCATTTCAAGCCGGCCGAAACTGACATGAGCAAAGCAATCCGCCAACAATCGTCAACATGGGTGCCTAATGTCAAGCCTCTGGACCTGAACCCTGACAGCCTGATAGGCTGCTTTTGTGAGGCCTGCTTCGGGATGGATGTTCTTGCCTTCTGGATGGCCTTGGAGATGAACATCTGCGCCTCAGGTCTTTCTGCTCGTTTTAAGTAGTTTCGGGCACTGAATTTATGAGAGTGCCAACTTGATGCAGTCTGAGTCGAATGGCACACTTGCTTGCAGCGTTACACACCCTTGAGAACTTTGGCACGGACATGACCAGCTTCGGCATCTGAGATTGGTTTGAAAGCAAAGGCACAGGAGAGAACATTGTCAACAATGTCAAGCTGGTCTGTTTGGCAGCGGCCCTGCAAAAACATAAACGGGGTAAAGCGACACCTATGACAATCGAACAGAAGCAAATCCGTCGATCAGAATTGGTGTAGATCTAGAGCGGCTGCAATTCATGACAAGCAATACCTGTGGATCAGGGCGTGGGGTGCAAGTAAGAGCTTGAAGAATCAAAGAAGGCCAGACGGTCAACCAGGAGTTGTTTAAAACCTGGCAAGACAAGTTACGTTTCCTGTTCCAGCTAATGGCGCGGAAGCGAGGACCAAAAGCACTGTTTTGCATGTCTGGGGAGTGCCCATGCCACAGAGCTAGTGTCAGATGTTGGGGATTGGCTGGCAAAGATGCAAACCGTTGTTGTGACAGTTTCTCAGCATGAACCACATGAACCGGTAGGGACACCTCCTCGTGGCGCAGGCATCTCAATCTCTGTGCAGCTGAGCTCTCACCAGCACACTCTGGCGCTCTTGTCGAGATACTGGCCAGATGCCCGCTGCAGGATACCCACTCAGCTTGTGACGTTTGCTTATTCCTGTCCACTTGGCAAAGCTGAGACCTTAAACCTGGCCTTCAACACCCGGCTGATGACGGTGGCTGGTCTGGAAGGCCAGCTGTGCAGTTAAACCAACTGTCCTTGTGGATCCTGACAGGTATGATTCAAGCTGTCGGCAAGCGCAAGTACACCGTGAAGGAGCTGGCCCGGAGCACACTCTTTCCAAGCTGGTGAGCGTTAGTTTAAGCAGAGATTCAGGTGCTGAAGCATTGTGACATTGCCGCCAAAGCTGCGGTACAGCTTGGCATTTTTCTAAGCCACATGCCTGACCTGCGGGAGCCGGGGCCCGAGCGAACCTCAGCAGATTTCAAGCTCTGAAGCTGGGGCGGCTGGCTTCTGGCGGACTCAGGCTCAATCTTGACTTTAACACAGCGCTGTACACCTCACTCGGCCTGCGCGGTCTGGTGCAAAGACTTGGTGCTACCTGATGCGGTTTACATGAATGTGTTGGGTCCATGAGCCATAGCTGCCATAGCTTGACTGCAACCATGTCAGTTTTTTAGATGGAGTGTGAATTTGTATCACCTGCTAAGCCTGTTTCTTGGTTATCCCAGCCTTATTGAGGCTTTGAGCAAATTGTCTGCCCTGCAGCTGCGTGGCTGCCAGCTCCCAGATAAGGCTGCAGAGGACGGGTTTTCCCAAAATGCAAGCAGAGGGTTAGGAGTGCTCTGATGGGCTAAGTGCCGGTATGCTTGAGGACGCGCTCAAAGACTTTTTGCGTCATTTCCCTGCGCTGACGACTCTGCAAGCAACAGAGTGTGCGGCATCTCAGTGCGTTTGGACCGAGCTTCGTCAGAACTCGGACAGACTTGCAAGACCTCAGAGCACTTGGAAGAGATGGGGATTTCTGCAAGCAATGAGGCCTGGTGCGAGTGGCACTCCTGTCATGGAAGCTTTCGTAACAAAAGAGCAGAATGTTATTGGGCCCTGAGGCAGTCAGAGGTGAGGGAGTGCCTTCGATGCCTTCTTCCTGGAGCGATGGCTCTGCTTGATGAGTAGAAGCTACATTTGTAAGATTGCCGGCGGGGGTTGCCTTGGAATAATTGATGTTTTTTGGGGAGTGGTGGCAGCCGCGCGCATCTTGGAGGACCTCTGGATTGGCGAGCCATGCAGATGGCATGTCGCTGGGGAGAGCGATCCTCAGCTGGGCCACTGGCCGAGGCAAGCGAAAGGATTTCCATGTCCATGACAATGGAAGAGCTTGCAGGGGGGGCTGATTCAATCGAGCTCATATCTGAAGTTCACCACAACAAGAGGGCTGTCCACAGCTGCTGGCACGCCATTCCACCTTTGGGTTTCAGCTCGTCCAGGTTCACCGCCGTCCACGACTTCGGTCAACAGCCATCAAGCTATCTCGTCGATTGCGAGCTGTAGTTGGTGACCTTCTGGGATCAGCGGCCCTGAAACGTTCAGCGGAGGCCGGGGACAGGGGGCAAGTGGTGGCAAGCACGCACTGGCCGCACCTTAGACATTGTTGTCAGTGTTTGCGTGCAGTAAAGCGCGTTCGGGATTCCGTGTACAAATGAAAGGAGGCTCCGCTGTAATGATGGTGGCGGCCACTTGTGCATGTCATTGTGAGCATAACTGGGAATGGTTTCATTTCAGTGTTCAACCTACCATGCCAGACATGACATGAAAAGCCCACCCACAACCTTGACCTTAAATCTCAGGTAGACTCTGCATCCCGAGCACCTTGAATGACTGCCTGTTTATCTATGTGTCAGCTATCCTGCTACCCGCATATGCGAACACACAGGCACGCAGTACAGAGGTATGTACATGCGCGCCCAATTCAACAAACAGTGACTTCTGCCTCTTGCAGGAGTCGAACGCTCAGTCGAACAAAGCAGCACAGCTTCACAAGAAATGTTGGTCCTAGCACAAATACCGTGAAATTTCGCGCAGGCCCTTCCTAAGCCCCCGTGCATACCGACGTTTGCGCCAAACAAGCAGTCTGCCCACATCTGCAGAATGTCTGGCGGCTTGACAGCAGTGTCCCTAATTCTGTAGTACAGCTTCGTACGTCCTATATAATCACAAATTGGCCGCAAGGACGAACATATGAGTTTTGTGTTCAGGAAGAGAGGAACTTGAGAAAGAGGAACTCCACTTGCAGGAGGGGGAGCGCACGATTGGAAACTCTCTGCCCGTGGGGTGCTGTGGACTTGCGTCTTACAAATGGCAGCTCAGCACCGCAGCGGCGTTTGGATGCAAGGCTGGGCGCCGGGTTCACGTGATCAGATGACAGTCCGCGGCTGCAGCGCTGGCATGTGGCAGCGGCCGCGCAAGTGTGCGTCTGCATGGCCTGCAGGGTGCATGCTGAAATTGCTCAAAGTGTATTCGTCGCAGCATCCGACACTGGGTGTACTCCTCTGCGGGCCCACTGACACATGACGAGCGCAGTTTCTGAATGCTTGGGCAGACTGCTCAAGAGATCTTGGTCAAGCTTTTAGCCACAAAAATGCCTTGCAGCAGAGTGCCTGGCATCATGGCCAAGCACCGGGGCCAGACACTGCGGAGCAGTGTTAGTGCTGGGACGTAATTGACGCAATGCCAGGATTCCAGGATGCAGTGTCAAAGCGACAATAGCAAGTACTAGAAGCAGAACTCTATGCCGCAAAAAGAGGTGCTTTGGATATGGCAAGGCAAAAGATCCACATGAGAGTCGGACCAAATCTCTGGAAGATGCAACATATCTAGGTAGGTCATGAGGTTCGCAAGGCAGATTTGTGGGGAGAACCGATAGGGGCCAACCCTCAACCGATAAGTATCTCCTAAAGCTTGCATAACCGTTGGGGGCCAACCTTTACCCCATGGTCTCTTCGCTATGCAAGAAATTTAGTCTGGCACTCATATGAATGCTGCTTTCAAGGCAAAGTTGGTGCACCCGAGAACTCTCGACCCAAAAACCCTAAACAACGTTCCGCTTCCTTGTTTCCACGCTGGGTGCTCCCCACTCGGGTAAATTCTTAAATTCTTGGAGGACATCCGCTTTGCAGTCGAGATTTTGGGTGCGAGACCGCGGCAAGCTCCGCGCGGGCGACTCTCTGAGAGCCTTGGTGATTTGGTGATGTGCAAATATGCAAACGGAGAAATATTGCTGACGTTGTCCGCAAGTCCAATGTGGCGGCTTAGGATCAGAATGTTGGACTTGCGCCATGAGCATCTGCTCACAGGCTTGGGTACCGTTGGGCATTGTGCAGCTGGACGTCTAACGGGACAGCTGAGTTGAAGGTGGCAGTGTTCTGGCACCTCTTCAAGGGCGAGCACTCGGGATCTTCTTGCGTCACTGTCCACAGCTTGAAGAGCTTTGTTTGCTGGGTGGCTCGGCTGCTGAATGCGCTTTGCAACTTCTCAGCGAGCAAGTGGTGAGAAAGTGTGCAAGATCCCGTGACAGGCCACGCGCAGATCTGCACGGCTGCAGGCTTGGAGGGCCTTCTCGAGGGCCTTGGCGGCCTGCGCCTCCCTCTGAGGCAGTGTTCTGCTGGCATGAGACCTTTCACTATGGCAAGAGCACTGTCAGGACACTGCACTTCGGAGGCTGTGGAGTGACCGAACATGCTGCACCACTTCTTGGTGGCTCAGCAAATACTGTAAGGCTTACTTGTTTCCTTCTTGACATTGCTCGCTTGTGCACCGCTCGAGGCCAGTTTATAAGCGCCTGTCCTCAGCTATCTTCTCTGAGCCTCATGGGCAGCTGGCAGCTCTGCACAGCTGCGGGTCTCCGTGCCATCACCCACAATTGGGGAGGAGGAACCTTGGATTGGCTGAAGGGTTGCGCAGTGTAACGGTAGCTTCAACAAGTAGTAGGTGAGACTAGTGCTAGAACCGGCGGCGGCCGTCTTTTGTTGTAGGATTCGCGGGAGCGCAGACAGACACTTTGGCAAGTTCGTTTCAAAAGTTAGCTGCTGTAGTCGTTCCCACACTTGTGCCAGTATGACAAAGCCCTTCCCAGAGATGATCTCTAGCAATGATTTATGCGTGGAGTTTTTCCACAGCGCTATCTAAATGGTGACCCCAGTCCGCGCAAGTAAGCTCGGTAAGCATCAGGCTCTTTTGACAACTTCCCAAGCTAGACAGTGTGAATGGACCGAGAGCCTTCCAAAAAAAGCTGTCGAATCACGAGCTTCCCCTGGCTTTTGGTCAACACTGCTTCTTTCTGTAAGGCAGGGATTGCAATTTAGAGCAAATCTCCAAGTGCACAAGTGGACAACTCATCGGCCCAAGCAACTCCCACTCGCACCGTGAACGTGCAATCTCGGTTTCTGCGGGTTGGTTGCAAACCACCAAGTACTACCCGTATCAATGTGGGGACCATACAGCTCCTTATCAGTGAACACGAATGATAGAAGCGCTGCGCAGCTAAGACTCGCTGCGCTTAGAGCTGCTGAACCTCACGAACTGCCGCCTCAAGACGCCTGCAGCTGAAGCGCTGGGGGAGCTTCTCAGGATACGCGCATCGTTTTTTTTCCGAAAGTAGCTTCTGCATCGATGCCACACCTGCAGGAGGTGTTGCTTCCTTACCCAGCTTGTGCTATCCGGCAACCAGGCCTCCACATGTTACTGTGGACATGTGACCCATGAGGTAGGGACTTGTTGTGCAGGACTTCTTCGAGGCTCATGCCATCACCTTGCTGCTGAAAGGGCTCGGTGATGGAGGCTTGTCAAATGTTTGGCTTGCCTCGGAATATATTGTTGGTGTGTTGACGTCCGCTGACCACGCTGTTGTTTTGCAAAAAACGATCATGAGATGTCATTTAGAAGCTAGGCAGCAAGGGCTTCACATCCGCATGCAAGAGCTTTCACCCATTGACGGGGGGAACCTGAACACGAAGGCTGTGGCCTCCCTTTCAAATCAGCATGTTCGTGAAAGAGCGATGGCAGGACTGCCAAGACTACGTGAGATCACTTGGCAGCAGCTTGTGGATGTGAATGAGGCTTTTCAGAAGGCCTGCCCTTACGCACATTACAGCAGCAACAGCATCATATTGCTGGGATTTGTGTGCACTGAATGTGGTAGTTTCCCAAAATTGGACCCAAACATGTTATAATCCTTTATATATTCTTGGGACCCCAAAATGGTGCCCCTGATGATGTCGGGAAACCCCCATGTGTTAGGAGTTCGACTGCTTTCTGCGGCGCTGCTCGCTGCTGCGGGAAAGCATGGGCTTGCTGGACAAAAGACAAAGTGGCAGATGAGTGATATTCCTTTGGGGGTACTATTTAGGGTTTCGGGTTTTGGGGATACCAGGGTACCCAACATAGAGTCAGATTATATCCTCCATCTGGGTATTTCTGCAAAGCTGGCAGGATCATGTGATCATTTCCATCATCGATGTGTTTTGGTCAGGCATTTGACAAGCGCCTCTGCCCTCTTTACCATGGCGTGTTCGAGGCACAACTGCAATGCTCTCTTGCACTGACCATCTACATCTACGTTCGCGTGTCTTACCATTTCCATCCTTGCCAGTCTGCATGCAACCCATTTTTCGAACAGATGGCCAAACATGATCGGCCTCTGGTGACACAAATGGGAGATGAGGCTCAGGAGAGGAGAAGTCGTCCTTTCTTTGGTACTCATGTTGCTCCCGTGCTTGGGTCGCTCGCAGGAGATTTGGGAGGCGGAGATGCCAAGGCCTGCTCCTGGGTACGAAGATCAGAGGGCGCAGAACGGCAGACTTTTGTTCAGGTTGGGTGAAGGTCGCAGTCCTTACCCAGGCCATGGATTTCTTGTTACCCAAGCGCAAACTTTTCAAATTGCGATGCAGAAGATGAAGGCTTCAGACTGAATTGGTTACAGCTGTGACAGGGAATATAGGGGTAAGGTGCATAATACTTAAGAGCCTCCGGCTCAGTCCGCCGATGCCAGAGGCGGAGAAGGGACGGACGCGGCTTATCAAAGCGACGACGCAAACGGACCGCAACGTGGCATGAGCGGTTGTGACAGGACGCCGCACCGCTCAGACGTCTGTGTTTCGCCCACGCGCGCGCGCGAACGCATGCGCGCGGCATGCGCGTGTATTGGGTATCGCCGGACGCGCAGGCGCAAAACGGGTTCCCGCCTCGGCACGCGCGTGCTCGAAGAGCTCGCAGGAGACGGCGTTGGCAATACATCACAGAGAGTAAAACGACCAGAACATACGGAGCCGCACAAACGGCTGGTTCGGAGGTGCGTGCTTGCAAGCGACAATGTGCGTAGAGGGTCGCAGGCACGGCAAATGGCGGCTGACGCACACGCGTGTGCATTGCGAATTTGAGACAAAAGGGGAAAAACCTTTGGCCCAGGGAGTCCAACTGTTGGTATGACACATGTCGAACCGGATTGGGGCAACGTTGCTTCTGCCGGAAAAGGAAAAGACTTTTGGCTGGCCAGCCCCAAGACACATGTCAAATCGGATCGG